GAGGCGGCTCCGGCAGCAGCCTCCGCCCAGCCACCTGGCTGCTGCTATAGTCGCCGCAGCGGCTGCCCCTTTGTCACCATTCCCCAGGAAACCGGCGCCTTGTACTGCGGGCCGGGAGCGGCAGCAGGTCCAGGAGCAGCAGGGGCAGCCGCCTGGCCCAGACAAACACAAGGCTCCCTCCTCCTGCTGCTGGGGACACGTCATGGGGAATAAATAAATAAATAAATAAATCCACTCACCCAGTGGCAGTGAGAGGAGCCGGCGGCGGCGGCGGGATTAGATCCAGCCCACCCAGCCCAAGCTAGAGACCAGGTAACGTAACCGACCCCTCAGGAGGGAGGAGGAGGAGGCTGCTTATCGTGGCCCCCGCCTGGGAGGGCCCGGGGAGCGAAGGGGGCTGGCGCCAGGGCTAGTGTTCGTGCCCATTGTGTGTACCAGCTGCTGCCCCCGGTGGGTAGCGGGCAGGCTGCGTGCTGCGCAGGGGTCGCTCTCAGACACGCACTCAAGCGCTGCTGCTGCCGCCGTTGGAGTGTGTGTGTGTGTGTGTGGGCTGCACGCGGCCCAGTGGTCTCACATACTGACACACACCCTGCAGAAACAGCGGCTGCCATTGGCTTGTGTGCGAGGAGAGGATGCCCCAGCAGCCTCGCTCATTGCCACTGACACACACCCCAGACATGAGCTGCTGCCTTTGAGTTGTGGGCAAGGGGCAGGTACCCCAGCACAGACTTACTCTCACACACACACACGCACCACCACAATTGCTGCTGCCCTTGGGTTGTGGGCAAGGGGCGGGTACCCAAGCACGTGACAGGCTCAATCACACACACACACACGGCACCACTACAGCTGCTGCTGCTCTTGGATTGTTTGTGAGCTGCGGGTCCGCCACCCCCGAGCCGCACTCCTAGCCGCTGCCGCAGCACACAAAGAGCGGCTGCCCTTGGGTCGTGCCCAGTGCTCGCTCCCATCCCCGCAAGCTGAAGTGTCCCTGTGGCGGTGGTTGGGCACCGGGCAGCCCCACCCCAGTCTCCTGAGCGGCGAAGAGAAGCGCAGAAGCCGCCCCCGCTGCGCTGCCCCGCACCATGGCGCGCTGTAGGCGGGACTGCTCCATCCCTCGGGGGATGTTTCTCTGACCACGAGGCCGGGGCCATTCCCGGGACTGCCGGTTACTGTGGGTAGCTACCTGCGGTGGGATCCGCTGCTTGGTAGCGCTGCAGGGGAGAGGAGGTGAGCGCGCTTGGCTCACGCCTTTGTGTCTGCGCTGCAGCAGGGGGAGGCGGCTGTAGCATCCCCGCGTGCCTCCTTAGCCCTCTCATCACACAGCCCGGCCCCTTTCTCCTCCCCCGCGCTGGAGCTGCCCCAGGCTGGGCGTGCTACTGGGCAGACCACAGGCCAGCGTTGGGCTGGCGTCGCCCGTCCCGTTGTCAGCGACTGGCCCTTGAGCCTGCCCAGGGACAGAGCCGTGGGGTGCAGCTGCCAGACAGGGCTGGGCCGGGGGCGGCGGCAGGCGATGCTCAGCGAGTGTTGCTGCTGCCTCTCTCTCTCTCTCTCCCCCCTGACCCCCCCGCGCGGTAGCCAATAGGAAACGGCGTGGAGGCGGTGGAAGGCAGCTGGAGAGGAATGGAGGATGAGGACGGGAACCGGATCCGCCTGGGAGGGGAGGTGGGCTCGGCCGCCTGGCATCGCCCAGTTGGTTCGTTCAGGGGAAGCTGAGGTCGCGTGGAACGCAGCCCTGCAGTGCTGAGTTCACTCAGCATAAGCCTGGCAAGGGCTCCCTGGGGGTGGCTGTGCTGCCTCCCGCCCGGAGACTGCCCGACTCTAGCTCACACTCTACAAAGGCACTTGCACACAGGGGAGCGCTCCAGAGGGAAACGTGGGAACTTCTAAAAAAAAAAAAACGATTAACTTATTGTTATGAGAGGTGGGGCTGAAGGAAATAGAGATCCTGTCCCCGCAGCCCTCTCTGAGCTGTGGGGAAATTCGACTCTGCAGCTCTGTGTATTATATTGCTCTGATTACTACTACAATCATTCTGGTGTTGGTTATGGTGGTTGATATTTATTGATCCAACGGTGTCACTGGCAGTGTATAAAGGGAGAAGTAAACATGGGGGCGTTCATTTTGTTACTGCAGCTACTTCATATACTTCAGCATACTTCCAGATATAACGGGTGCAAAGTAGTCCTAAAGTTCCTTCAGGGAATGTTTCCAATTTAAGGGGCTTCCTTAGCAGGAGGAGCATAATTAGCCCTGCACTACCACCCTGATTCTGTTGCAGGGTGCCCTGGTACACGGGGCATCAGTGAGGCACTGCCATGCCTCAGCTATTTTTGGCTGCTGGAATGGCCCATATAATGTTACAGCTGAAGCACAAGTTTAGAGCAGGCCAAGAAGCTGCCCGCCGCTAACCCATGCTAGGTTTAACTGTCCCCTGGCAGTCCTAGTATCTAGAAGGCACATTATCTCCTCAGTCTCTGTCCCAGGCACAATCTAGAAGGCACATTATCTCCTCAGTCTCTGTCCCACGCACAATATCAACATAGGAATGAGTCCCCCTGAGTTTTCACATCTAAGGCAGGGACAGTTCAGACATGCAGAGTGCATCACGTGCCCATTGGTGAAGTAGGAATCTTACTGAGATAATTGTTGAAAGCCTGTGTGGTTAAAACATCTGAACAAACTGAGGTCACTGGCTTGTGGAGCCTTCCTTATATGTTTCATTGGTCTCAATAGTAATTCTTTGCATTGCTGTAGCTCAAGCTACTTATCAAATAATAATGAAATAGGTGCACACAGCTTCCTTTGCAGGAGTGGGGCTGTAAACTCAACAGCACAGCAGATAAGCCTAGCAACATACCAGCCCAGGTCTAAAGAGAGTTGAATCATATGAAGGTCATGCTTAAAGGCAAATATTTTGGACAGATAGAAAAAGTAGAAAGAAATTACAAGAGAGGGCCAATAAAGGAAGGAAAATGGTTTATGTTTAAGTTAGTTATATTTGGGAATATTAATAAGATACATAATTTTTTTAAAAAGAGAACCATCTCCCCCTCCTTTAGTTCCAGATTGCATATTAAAGTTCTTTAATATTGAAGATTTCTGATATTCTTTTTGATCAAGAATGCTGAATAGATTCAGTTTCTCTAACCATTAAAATGAATTTATAAATTAACTTTGAGGGATAGAAACTGATAAGTATCAGTTTCATTAGAAGAGAGTTGAGGATGGCTTTTTCTATTAGATATTTCTCTTAAGTGTGTAACTTAGTATGGAGTAATAGCTGTATGAGGAGTTAGTGGTAGTTTATTTAATGTAGTATTGAGCTTTTATCTTAGTGATTTTCTCTTGTCTGTTTTCCACAATAAAAGCAATAGTTGTCAGGACTGCCCCCAGTTAGAAGTCATTTCCTTTATCATAAAAATGTTGCTCTACCAGAATACTCAGTATCTGTGTTTGTTCCACCCAAATTTATCCTACAAAATACACCTTTACATTTCCCCCTTCTGTTTTCTTATCATAGCCTTCAGGGGTTACAGTTAGGCTAACGAGGAAATATAATCTTAAAAGAGGCATGACAAACATCAGAGGGTGAAAGGTAAAAGTCAAAGTGGAAGGCTGGGTGAGTTTCATCCTGGGGGAAATATTAATACTTGCAGGGATTTCCTAGACCTTAATCTTCTCAGGTTAGCTAATGTAGAATAGAAGATCATTTTTTCAATAATATGCTTTTTACTTGTTTTCAGCTTTATCTTATTTTATTGTTTAGGTAGCTACATTCGCTACTTGTATGCCATTGCAAGGTTGTGCTTAATGATGAATCATGAGTCATTCCATCACAAAGTTGTTCTTCAGCCCTTGGCTTTGCTATTTTGTAAAACATCGATCAGTTATGATGCTAATACCGATACAATTTTAATATGCATAAGAGAAAAATTAATGAACAAGTGACTAACATGAGTCTCAAACATAATGCAATTTGAAAAAATAAAAGACACGTCTCTAGTTATACAATGTATATTTGTCCTAGAACTTGAAAATATATTGAGTTATAGGAATGCTATGTAAAAAGGAACTGTAAAAATTACTAAGGGCTAGATCCTGCAATTGGTCCATAGGGATGTTTGACTACAATGGGGCTTTGTGCACACACAAGAATGCACCTATGTGAATCCAGTTGCAGGATCCCGACTACATCTGGACAAAAAATTTATGATGAATAGCTTTTTCATCAACAAATACGTTTCCCATGATCTAAAACTATTTGTAAAATTGAGTTGAATTCAACAAAGAATTTCAGCCAAGAAAAAATGTTTTTTAAATCAAAACATTGTTTCAGCTTTTTCATTTTGACATATTTCATTTTAAAATGACATTTTGAATTAAAAAATGGCCAGTTTTTTTAAATCACACAAAAGCATGAAAAACACCTGAAAACTGCCAAATCAAAATGAAAATCTTTTTAAAAATTGTGTTGAGTTGGCTAAAACATTTTGGTTGACTCAAAATGAATCAAACCCCTCCCCCCAAAAAATTTCATTTAGAATCAACTTGAAATGTTTCAGTCCATTCAAAGTGAAATTGTTTAAAGTTCTTCAATAAAAAAATAAAAAAAAGGAAAATGATTTTGGTGAATCAAACTAGATCTTTTTTTTTTTGGTTGGGGGGGTGTCAGTCCCCAAACCAAAAAAATCCATTCTATGCATAACTCTAATCCTTACCGTAAATTATCCTTGTGATTAAAAAAAAAAGTGTTCTTCCAAATTGAAGTTTTCAGTCAGTTATTGTTATAATGTTTAAAAAAATCTTGAAAATAATATTTGGTAAAAAATAGGGCTGTCAAGTGATTTAAAAAATCGTGATTAATCGTGCGATTAACTGCACCACTAAACAATAATAGAATAAAGCAACAGAGGGTCCTGTGGCACCTTTAAGACTAACAGAAGTATAGGGAGCATAAGCTTTCGTGGGTAAGAACCTCACTTCTTCAGATGCAAGTAATGGAAATCTCCAGAGGCAGGTCTCCAGATTTCCATTACTTGCATCTGAAGAAGTGAGGTTCTTACCCACGAAAGCTTATGCTCCCTATACTTCTGTTAGTCTTAAAGGTGCCACAGGACCCTCTGTTGCTTTTTACAGACTCAGACTAACACGGCTACCCCTCTAATAATAGAATACTATTTTAAAATATTTTTGGATATTTTCTACATTTTCAAATATATTGATTTCAATTACAACACAGAATACAAAGTATACAGTGCTCACTTTATATTTATTTTTGATTACAAATGTTTGCACTGTAAAAAACAAAA